ACTGAGAATGTGCTTTTGGTGGAATGCACTAACCAAAAAGGTATTTAATCAGCAATCTAACCAACACTGCACATTGCACCTGCACCTGTACTCAAGAACTGCCACAGAGGCTGTCAATGCATTGTTTGAGTTAGTACAAGATGTCCAGCATCTTGAGTAGCTTGTATGTCTTGACTGTGGGCAGTGTCTAGGTTACAACTAGGAATGTACTTTTGGTAGAACCTACTAACCTAAAAGGTATTTAATCAGCAATCTAACCAAAACACCTCTCAGAGATGTTTAATAGCTAGCATCACAGTAGACGAGTCTATAATACATCTGAAACTACAATGAGAAGGGTACAGAGCTTTTAGTACACTAATTCTAGCAGTGTGCACATAATTCTTGAGATTGATGTTGGAGAAAAAGCAGGCTAACCTGATTTGGATAAATCAGCACTGCACTAAGCCATATGTGATTAAATCAGCAATATTTTCAGACAGGAAGAGCTGAGCTATTCTTCAACTCTACCAGACAGTCAACCACAAACCAGAGAAAATGCCTTGGGGCAGACCCTGTAAACATGCTACTGCCAGTCAGGCAGTTGTAATGACGCAGGCCAGTAGGGAAGATGTCCAAAGTAAGTGTGAGTCCACTGCGAGGCATATGGGAGTGCTGGGACGTTGAGAACACTAGGATTGAATTCCCTACACCTATAGGTCTTGTACAAAAGGATACAGAAAAACTACTTTAATGAATGAGCAAATGGGGGTCAGGGTTAGGAAAAAAATAGTTGATCTTTTAAGGTCAGCTGATAGAACAGAGCTCCCTGAGCACAATGGTACCCTCCACTAAACGCTGTATGCTATGGTTATTGTACTATTGCTGTTTAAAGTTGGGGTACCTGAGGTTGACAACCCAATTTGGTAAGGTCAGCTTTGAAAATGCACTAACCTTAAATGTAATTTTGGTGACCCCCTGACCAACATCAGGTATTGCATCAGCACAAGGGCAATAAAGCAATAGTCAAAGGCTAGCTATATGCCTACAGTCATTCTGGAACAGATGGCATTTGTTTTATATCTTATTCTCTTGTTTGTAGCTGAATTATCTGTCTTCTATGATTGTATACCCAATTGGGAATTTTGGTGACCCCTACTAACCTAATTGGGAATTTTGGTGACCCCTGAAAATTCTACTTTTTGGGCAACTTTCTTCTATGACACAAACTTTATAGCTGTCACCATGCCTTCAGGAAGACCCAGAAGGTATGCTACTACAGCTGAGAGCAAAGCAGCAAGAAAGCAACGTGACCAACAATGCAAACTGCAAAGACAGCAGCCTCAAGCCCCTCCTGAGTTCATTGCCTATGAGCCTCTCCTCCCTGGAGACACACCATGCCCAACACCTATCAATACAGGGCTGCGAATCAGCTCTGACATCCCTATACCAAGAGATAGAACAAGTGGACACAACCCTACCCTGCTGGATGAGCACCCAGAATGGGAGTTATCTGCTGCTGCCTCTCTAGTCATCAATGATCCAGAGTATACAAGAGAGGTAGAGGAGCTTCAAGAAGCAGAGAAAGAGCAGAACACTGAGCTAGAAGAGCATAATGCTGCTATAGCACAGTGCATGCAGGAAATGGATACAAGAGCAG